CATCGCAAATGCCACGATGCGCCCCCTCAAAGGGAGGGCAAAGTCATTTTAGAACGCCCATAAAAAGGCAAGCACTACGCGTTAAAACAAAGTTACCTTTTTTGGGGGGGGAGGGGAGTATATTTATATTTTCCGGAATAAAAGCAAAAAGCACTTAGACGACAGCTTACCTCCTCTTTCACCCTAAAGCAACAACGAATGGTGTAGATTAGGCACACACACGTAAGTTATAGAAATGCATTCCGACGGGCTTTTTTATTCTTTTATAGTTGAGGCGCAATCAATAATAATACACCGCGTTAGCTGCCCAAATTTGCGCCGCTTAGAGAAGAAGCCCAAACTCACGGAGCATCACCACGGCGGGGTTGGTATAGCTGATATCGAACCAATAATTCACCGCGGCGATTAATGGCAGCGGCGGAAGGGCGTCGCCGGGGGGCGTCGCCGCCGGTTTCGCTTCGGGGGAATCGCGATGTTGGTGTTTCGCCTTTTCGTTTCCCGCCGATCGCGCGCGATGTTTGGCGCGGGCGGCGATGTCGTCCGGCCCGGCGCGCTGCCCGACGTGGTGGAGCCAGAGCGCGGGGAGGTACAGCAGCTCGCCCGCGTGAACGTGCACGACCAACGGATGGACCTCGACGTCCTTCCCCCCTGTTTTATCATTGCCGTTGTGGGGGATTTCGTCAGGGCGGCCAGGGGGCTCGCCGGCGGCGTCCGCCAGGGCCCGGGAGGCGATCGCGTCGTCAAACCACGGCACCCGCGTGCCGTCCTTCATCGGGTAGGGCGTGAAGGCGAAGGTTAACTTCTCGCGATCGCACTGGTCCTCGTCCAGGGCGAAAGGCGCCGAAGGGAGGCTCGGCTTGGGCAACAAAGCGCCCTCCCAGGGCGGGATCAGGACGAAAACCTTCACGCCGCGGACGACCGCGTAGAGGTTTTCGACCCAGTCCTGGTGGGTGGTGGAGACGCTGGCGGGGATGCCCAACCACACGTTCGCCGCCTCGACCGCGCCGCCGAAGACGCGCTGGCCGAAGGCCTGGACGGTCGTGGGCAAATCCCCGCGGAGGTGGGCGTACTCGCGGTT